AATCTAAAGTACGTCTGATACAATGATTCAAATGATGTACTTACCGATTCTCATTCTTAGTAATATAATAGATCCGAAATAGTAACAAATCAGGAGGACTATGCGTGAGGTACAATTGGTAAAAAAATCATATTTTTCTGATGAGTGGTTGAAGCTACATAAATAAATGAATGTTGGAGTATCCGGGCGGTTGATCGCGCCCATATATATGGCTGGTACTATAAACTGAGAATTTGGTAATTTTAATTTCGTCCTTCATTTCATGAAACTTCTAATATAACCAGATCATGCCCATCCAAATCTGACAAATATCTTCTTCATTTCGTAGTATCTGATAAAATAATATATTCACTATTCGTTTAAATATGATAGATACTGCATATATGAACAATGTAATTTGTTATAGACATGGTTTTTTAGAATAAAATGCTTATTATTTTTTCGAACTTTGCATTTCCTTAGAGTTATTTTTTGATATATTAAATGTATTTTGAGTTATTCTAGATATCTTGAAAAAAGTTAATTCCAGAGACTTTTGTTTGGAAGATTTATTAATAATAAAAATATCGTTAATAACACAGCACCAGAAGAACTAAGGTTTTAAAGAGATGTTTTTCTCTTTGAAAATACTGCGAGTCAAGCGTGATCTGAAAACTAAATGTAGCGTTGAGTAGAGGATCATCCAAACTATGAAAGTTTGCACACAAAAGTTTTCTTAACAAGTTTAAGTTTTTGAAAAAAGTGTGATTACTTCTAGTTAATGACATTACATATCACGACTATACTGACAAAAAATACTCCAGTAACTGAACGAGAATTCCTACAATCAATTCTAACTGATACAAGACTCTCCTTGGGAATTTCGAGATGATGAGAAAATAAAGATTTTACTTCAGGTTAAGCTAATTACTTTGTAATGAATTAAATAAGGTGTTAATAAATTTTAATTGGATCTGAGCTGAACGAGCCAATATTGAGACAAATGGCTAAACAACACTCTCACCACATCACAGATTGTAAAGTATGTTGTTGATATACGACTATAGGCTGTATACTACATAGTAACGACTCATTATAATGTAAAATATTTCCTTGTTGTATTTCTGAAGGATTACGTAAAATGATGGCGGAGAAATGTATCTAAAAAAAGGCAGAATAACACAATATGTTCTTGATTAGCAACAAAAATTTGATCATGCTACAGATTTCAATCTTGCAGAGATTGTATTAATAGCTTCTTATAGAAGTTTATGTTAAAAGAATCTCTAAAACACAATAAAAACTTGTAAAGAATCAATGTGAAATATACTGTGGTCACGGCTCGTTGTAACGGATGTAACCCATAGTTTAGATAACAACGTCTTTCTTTTGGGCAACAGATATTACATGTTATGTAAATTTACTATATGTTAAGATTTTTATCAAAGTAGTTTTCTATTGAATATCATAACAAGAAAATGGAAGGCATTAACTATCAGTATTTTGAAGAAGAATACTCTTTTCATTAATAATCTTATAAGGGTGTGTGGGTGTGGGTGTGGGCTAAACAAGAAAAACAAAACCACACCCACACCCAAAGCAGTGAAGCTTATGCACAAGAAAGTAAAGAAACATGTACACATATGCAGCTCTCGTTGTACTATTTATCATTTTCTGCGTACCCGTCGACGTCGAGTGCTTTGTTGCATCGCCATTAAACTCAACCTATGCAATAAACAACATCACTTGTGCCAATTCGACAATTGGCTCAGGGAATAATGCGGCTTTTTTATTTATACCGTATCCCATCTATAGCTTTTGTGTCATACTATTGGGTGTCAGTGCTACAGGCCAAACTATCATGGTACAGCAACCTATCCAGAGGTCTTGGGTTGTTTTTTCATGGGCATATCATCTGGGTCGCTCTGGCTCAAATACAAATTATCCGAAGCAGTACTGGTGGATTCGGATGAGTCGAACTCGATGTACGGGCTTCAGTACATCTTCGAATATCGGTTACGGTTCCTGTACTTCATTATCCTATGAACCTTTTATCAGTTCAAGCCTGTGTATCTGCTCCACGCATCTTTGCAATGTGAACATGGCTACTTGTCAATCATCGGTCCAGTCGGCTACACCTCCGCCACCTCTCATGCCGCCCCTCATCTCGAGCTTTTCTCTACCGATCTCGCGCGTCGATGACTATAGCTTCCTGTATTATGGATTTTCCTATTGCAGCATCTATCAAGCCTTTTTTGTAGAATCTCAGTCTCTCGTCCTGTTCTGCCTATTTTAGTTCAAACACGGTTATGAGTATGATTAATTATGATGCGTCAACAAATTATACTTCGCGAACTCCACTGACTATGGAAGAGTAGGATGCTGCAGTTACCCCGAATTGGAATGCGTACTCTGTTGATCACGTTTATGGATATAGCAACTGGCAAGTTACTTCTGGTACCGGAAATTTGGTGATATCTTATGTAGGCAGTGGTCCCAGTGGCGTTTGCTTTTGCACATCATCTAACTGCAATGTCAACTGGGCCACATGCATTTCCGGGCTTAATCAATCCTCAAGCGTGTCGACGTCAATAACTCCAACGACTACGATTGTCACAAGTACGCAATCATCAAATGGAACCACAAGTAGAGTCACAACAACCGGATCAACATCGTTATCGACGAGCGGAGTTACCACCTCATCGTTAACAAGCATTCTAACTTCGAATCCAACTTCATAAAGAAACATTGCCATGGTTCAACAACTTCGCTCGCTTCCATTCCATATAATGGATGTCCTTTTCATGCACATCACGTCATATTAAAATGATATCCAACAACAGTTACACCATCCAGTACACTCACACACAGTAAGCACTCTAGTCTTATTAATTCTCTAATGTCTAACTAATTTTAGATTCGACATCCGACTCCTCCACCGTGGTCCATCAACACGTTACGATTATGAGCGTGATAATCACTTTGCTGTTACCATTGCTCCTCAATTGTTGAAAATTTAATTAATGACACCAGAAGGATGTGTGGGTTGAATATTAATACCTACTTCTCACACTCACACCCAATTTTTGGATATAATAAAACATATTCGTTTTCTAATAAACTGGCTGGAAAGACTTGTGAAATTGTCTAACGTTTAATTTTGAATAATTTACCATTGTCATCTGGATGTTCCACTTGGATTGTGGGTGTGGGTGGGTCTATCGCTGAGAATAGATGAAATTCACAGCAATTCCAATTTTGAACTTGAGATTTTCCTTGTCGGAGTTGGGAACTTTTACACATAAGCAGGGCTACAATTTCAAATGGGTATGCTTTCATAGCCCCTAGATAAAAACAAGCATGACTATACAATACATCACTCCTTCTGATATTCGCTATGACATATGTATCGGAAGGAATTGGAGCATATTGTTAGATCTTAAAACGATCGTAAGTTTTTGTTATAAGTAGCAGACAATCTGAATGCTCTAACGAGTGAGACAGAATGAAGTTGACCTTGTGTGTTATCTCATTGTAAAACTCTCATACTCTATATCCTCAAATTTCATGTGTTTATTGATATTGTAATGCAAATCTGTGATGAGCAATTCAATTTCAATCTCCGAGTAAGAATCATCATTGACATTATTTATTTATTTCGTTTAAATGTGGTTGAGTACAACTTTGTTTTTCAATATTTTCATTTCTCACATTTATATTTGCCTTTGCAAGCTACACCGGCTTCTCCATCACAGGCATAGACAACAACTGTAGGGATTATGTATTGCCAGTCGTATCCACCACCATTTGCAGTAATTGCATATGAGCAACAGCCGTAATCAACAAATGACATGGTAATTTGTTGTGGTACTTGCCAATTTGTTTTATCAAAAACGACTTTACTAAATTCAGCACATCGCGTGCCATTGTAGAAATAATTTGGTCGTACTTTAAATTCAATTGTAACTCGGTCAGTAGGTGCATGAACTGGTGGTGTTTGTAAAGTTAACTTTAAATTATCTTGACCATCAGGAGTAACCACAAAATTACGAAAGGGTTCTACACTAAATCCTAAAAACAATCAGGATGTTGTGTATCACAAGTAATGCTAAAAATTGTAATTTACCGGTATCCGCATTGCCACAGTATGCAGGCCACTGAGCAGGTAAATCGAACAAATGTTCGGCTTCTGGTGTAATATCATTTGTAAATGTTAGATATACTGTAGTTAAATATCTATGTACAAATAGACGATTATTACTACTGTTAAACGTACAATATAAAAGGATGGACGCATTAGACAGATGATTCCTATAAGGTCAACTCTCTTGAAAATCATTTTCGATGATTCATTAGTTCATTTTGACGATTCACCCTATGCTTATTGGTTTGTTGATTTATATAGACCTAGAGGATTCTATTGCAACAAGTCTTCATAGACCAAATGGTAGGAATTTTCAAGAGCTACAAAATCAGTTACTTTCCAAAATTACAAATCCCAAACATACTCTTCTCTAGACATGATCTCAGATCAATCATTTCGGCATCTTCCTGCCGCTGCCCAAGAAGCTTCGATAGTTGAGTATTTAGTAACCGGTTGAGTATTTCCAATGAAAAAAATCGTAGAAAGTATCGAAAGGACAGAACTACGTCTTCTAAAGTGTCCACCCCTTCACACTTACTCATCGTAATCGTAAGCCCCTCGGCCAACATGGGCTTCAATACTTTTTACTGGTCTATCAGGTTGTTCAAAATAACTTAAACAAGGAACTAGACCAATTCCAGATTTTTTTAAATCGCACATTTCTGGCGAATCATATCTCTAAAATGAGAAAAATTGCATTTATTACGTATTGTTTAGTCGAATATTGGTGAGTTATTTTGAAATTGCAAATACTTACACAATATAGTGACTTTAATCAGAGCTATATTTCTTAATCGAGCAAACTGTCTCTATTTTTCGATAGTCAGAAAGGAAAATAAGAAAATTAATAACTATCCTACACAAAACTGTATGTGTACAGTGGTCTCATTTGACTGTATTTATATACACATTTTCATCTGAAAGATCACTCTGCCATAAGAGTTTGGCCAATAAGTAAGAAAAAATGTCCTTCAGAAGTCACCATCAAATGGAATAAGTCTACTGTTATGCAATTCGTCCTATGATGTTCATAAATAACTGAGCATCTGTGATGAATTCATCACTTTATATCAGAATAGACTTCTTCTCTCACAATATAGGTTGACATACCACTGCATAGCCTTGAATTTCTGGTACCCATTCTTCGCCCTTATTGATTAGATCCGACGGTAGTGGAAACCATCGTTGAATTTCACGGATACTTAAACCATCACCATACCATTCAATTGGAAATGGGCCTGCGTCTTTCATTGGATTGGTTCTGTACCAACAATTGTTCTTCAAAGAAAAACAATAGAATTGCCTAAGGAAATAAAAACTACTATCTGTATACCTTTGTTCGTTCTGGATAATCGGGATTGAAGTTGAACATTGTATAACCCTTTGAAGGCGGCTATCAAAAATAAATTGAAGTATTCTATCTATAACGGGAGACATGTCTGTTTACTTACTGTATCTGCTTCGGCACCTTTGGGTTTGTATTGAACCATATAAGTTTCATTTTGTTTCATAAACCAGCCTTTGATATCAAAGCGAACTCTTGAATTTGTGTAATCATACAATAATTGTTGACAACCTAGGGTTGGTAGTGGATATGACTGTAAACTAGTTATATTTAATGTTGCTTGAAATTGTTTTGGAAAACCCTTTTGACTTGAACATTGATTAATGAATAAAATCAACAATAACAAGTAGATAGTTTGTCTCATTTCGAATAGTTTCGTATTTCACACAGTCGTATCACGAAAGACTCGTGCTTTATATATTCTACCAAAAACTAAAACAAGAAGCGAAATGGCCTTGCAAATATAAATGTATTTTCTCTCATCATCATGATGGACAATATGTTATCATTGAAATTGTAACTTGATATATAATTAAAGTATGGCTTAGGTTAGATACCCGTAATTTATTTTATGAGGGGTCTATTAGTGCAAATTTTCTATATCATAGAGGGTGACTGATATTCACATTCGAATTGAAAGGATACATGGTGACTAGTGTAGAAACATTTGAATAAAAGTTGCGAACTAAAAAAACAATATGCTCTCTATGAATCCACATGATGGTGAATTTCTTTTTCTTACGACTACAAATAGTCGAATTTTTTATTGTAAAATTCCTCTGAGGATTATTGCTTGTGAAAAACAACACCACCAATGTAAACATCAAGCGCATCCTGATATGTCTATTACTTTTAACTGCGATTTCGCTAGTGCGTTAATATTTTCCAAAGCATTTTAACACGAAGCATGTTTATTTCGTTTAAAACATACTAACAAACTGCTCTATTACATCCATTCACTCATAGCTAGTCTTTTACTCTCGTTCTATTTGAACATTTTCAAGATTCGCATGGTTCTTTACCCATACAGCCATGGCCAGCTTGGCCATCACATGCATAAACAAGAAACGTCGATTTAAAATACAGCCACTCATATCTTCCGCCGACCGCAGTGATTTCGTACAAACAACAGCCGTAATTACCAAACGACATATCCACTCGTTTTTGTTCATGCCAATTTTCTCGATCGAAAACAATGTTGTTGAATTGAGCACATCGCGTTGCGTTGTAATAGCAATTTGGTTGTACTTTACAATGAACTGTAACTTGATCACCGAGAGAATGAACTGGTTGTCCACTTAATCTTAACATAAAATGATCTTGACCTTCTGGTGTTACCACATATGTATATCTGCTGTCCATACTAAAGCCTAATAGTAATCGACGAATAAGGATACGAATACTGTTAGATACATAGCTAATATCCATATCAAATTAAAAGAAGGGTGAGTATTTTTGGAATAAGTTTTGATAGAAACTAGATAGAGAGATGCGGTTTTCACCGTTTGAAAGAGGAAAAAAACTGCATCGAATCTTGAACATCAGATTTTTCTGACAAGTTTTCTCAGGGACATTCGCCAAGTTTTTAAAAACAAGAAGGCTTTTTAACAGGTTTAAAACGTCAATTTTGCGTGAAAAAATTTGAAAAAAGTGACTTTTTGATGAAAAATCTGCCGAAAACTCGTATTAAATTGTTAATAACTTTTGACTGGCTTAACATTTTAATGCCGGACTTATACAGATTACTCAACTTTAATTGTCGATTGTGGTTCATAATTCATACTTACAATTCCAAAACTTTTACACGATACATTGTTTTCTGCTTCACAAATGTGACGGGTAGCCCTGAGAAAACTTGTCAGAAAAATCTGATGTTCAAGATTCGATGCAGTTTTTTTCCTCTTTCAAACGGTGAAAACCGCATCTCTCTATCTAGTTTCTATCAAAACTTATTCCAAAAATA